AACAACGGATTTGAACTTGGGGGGACCGAGATAAAAAATCTGGTGAGTGGTAATGTGAAGTGTTTGCGTCTAGAACCACAAGACAACAACTAGGGTTTCTTACGTCATGATCGGAGACTTTTTTACAATTACAGATTTTTTTTTTTTTTTTTTTTTTAAAGTCATGTTTATGATTTTACAGATATTAACGAGTGCAAAGGAAATCACTCGTGTCACGTGAATGCTACATGCAAGAACACCCTTGGATCACATGTATGTCAATGTCATGCTGGATATACTGGAACTGGACAAAACTGCGCAGGTGAATTTAATTTCTTCACTACCATATTTTTAATAGTCCTATATGCATTCCGGCTACAGCGCCGCATCATTTAGCCGCGTTGCAAGACAACTAGACAATTTATTACTTATAACTGGTTTTGATTTAAGCAGCCATTTCTCGTGTTAAGAACCTCTTAGATAATGTTCCTGACTCTTAAATGAACAATTTTGGTGACTGATGCGTTGTTCTGCTTTAAAATTATACTTATCACAATGACTTACAGGAGCATGAAAATAAAATCGCTCGTTTGGCTCTGAACCCTGTGCAAAGGATGGATATGTAAATGATTTTCCAAGACGCTACGTTTTCCTTGACACTCAAGATACATTTGAGCGAAAAAGTTGAAAATTATTATCATCAAGTTTTATAAAATAGTCAAGATACTACGAGCGCCCTGATTGGTTAAAAAAACAATCGTTGATTGCACCGGTAAACCTGTGGAAAATTGAAGTTTATATATGTTATTAAAGTAACAGACCGCACGTTCTATCGGTTTACCAGCGTAGTAAACGTCTTCAGATGTTGGGAAACCATTCGAAAAAAAAGTAGATCAATCGCCTCCAGCTCGTTCTCACAAAGTCCAGCGTGGATTATATCGCCAGTAAACTGAGAGAAAGAGCGATAAATAAAGGTTCTACAAGAACTGCGGTGCTGCGTCGGTGGGAGAGTGCAACAGGGTAATTTGGTATTATCAATTGAGTTGACGAGGTAAATTTGCCTCCGTAAAGAGTGTTACAGCGAATGCTCGAAACGTCATCTTTGAAACTCTTTACAGAGGCCAATTTGCATTATCAACTCAGTTGATAAGGTGAGAAAAATAATGGGGAAGGAAAAAAATCTAAAAGAAATGGCAGGTTGAGTCCTGAAGGGATTGTATGACCTTATCTGATCCTTTTCATAGAACGAAAGGAAACCTTAAGGGGGCAGAGAGAAATTACACACTCCTGGGAAATAATTGTGTTACTACCAAATACCTCGGCGCTGGCATCGTTGCGCGGGAGCTGAGAATCAAAAATGTCTTAAACGCATTTGGTAGCATACAGTAGAGGTACATACAACTCAGACTTAAATGGGCGATTAAAGCAAAAGGAAACATGACTCTTTGTAATGCTATCAGTGATTGAGGAAGGGCTAACGCTCGAAACGTCAGCTTTTTTACCCTTTACGGTGGCAAATTTACGTTTTCAACTCGGTTGTTAACACTAAATTACCTGCTATAATTATCAAAACCTGGGTGATGCCAATATTAAGAGTAGTTACGCTACACCGAAATTTGGTCCAGTGTTTTGTGACGACCTATCCCCCAAGGGATGGTACGTTTTGTGGGAGCAGCAGGAACAAGCCAGTTGTTTCAGAGCCGATAGCTTGATAAACTGAAATACTCGTGATAAAATATACGTTTCAAATATCTAATTCGTGGAACACAAAAAGAGAAAAAATTGTTTTATTATGTATGATTATCAAAGTAATCACTCGACTGAGAGTCCGCTCATTTTTAAAGTGACAAACATGATGAAGTGCAAATATATATGTGGTTTCCTCAGATATTGACGAATGTAAAGGAAATCACTCTTGTCACGTGAATGCTATCTGCACGAACACCAACGGATCCTATCTTTGTGAATGCCACCCTGGATTTAATGGAAATGGTCAAAGCTGCACAGGTGAATTTAATCTCTTTGCTATAATATTTAGAATATTCCTGCTCGAATATAATCTGAAGCTGCTGAGGTGGCCATATTATTAGTTTCTCATATGTAAACGATACCGGTTGTGCCCTAAGTCTGCCTAGAGCTGTCCTTTAATGCATTGTCTGAAAAAGAATGAGCTCAAATTCGGATCCTGATGAGTTTATCTAGATTTCCAATATCACTGTTTTAGTCTCAAAGCCTTAAAGTAGTTAAAGACATGCGAGTTACAATGTTTAATTCGTTTTCGCCTAAAAACACTGTAGGTACATTTAAGCAATTGCTATCTACAATCGAGTGAGTGAATAACAGACCAATAATAACCTGCATGCTGTATCTGTGGATCCATAGCATTAAATAAAGCAATTTTAACAGGAACTATTGTCCTACCAGTACTAAACACGATCGTTAGCAAGCGATCTAAGATTTTAGGGCTTAGTTACCTTTTGTAATTCAGCGTGGCTTTAAGCAACGTTGGGGCTTTTCTTTGATACATTTCTTAAACCATATATGAAAACTCTAAGAACGGGTGCTGTTAATTTTATCGTGAATTGATTCATCAATAAATTAAACTTGCTTCATGTTGAAGTTTATCAAAATGAAACAACACGAAGGTTACCTGCTATATTATTCAGTGTTATTTGTTGTCATTGTCGTTTTAACCGTGATTAATTGTTCTGCGAATTGAAGTCAGAGATAAAAAAAATTTGAGAATAGCTCGGGCTGCACTTTTTTATGTCTTTAGTTTTGATCAGCGCCGGTGAAAAATTAAATTAAAAAAAAAACAAAATAAAACAGGAACGAAGTCTGATTCCTCAGTCTAACCGTTTCGTTGGTGACTAGTTTGAGTGCATTTCATTCTTTCATGGTTAAACGGGAACTCATTGTAAACAACTCCATCGTTGGGTCGCTTGATCTCTACATGTTTCGCCATGACTCCTGCTTAAAATAGGTGTACTGTCATGATTGAGAAGAATATTCAGTAAACAAGGGAAAAAACGGCGACGATTTCAATTCCAAATTATACTTTACAAAATTATGAAGAAAAACGAGTAGTGCTGAAATCTAGAAGCACGAAACGAAATGACAGCGATACAAATCATAGAAAAAATATATATTTAGTGGGCTTCAAAATTTGATATATGAATCTGCAGACTCGAGACTTAACTAAAATGAAATAATTTCAAAGTTTCATCGCCCATGTGGATTCATATTAACAACTCACTTGTAGTAAACTCTCCTCGGTTGGTGCTTCTCGTTACACTCTCAAAGAGGATAATTTCGTTGTCCTTCAAGTGGTCTATGAAACCGAAAATTCAAGGCTGATAATGATCCGAAAGAGCCAAGGTTAGGATATTCAAGAAAAAATATAACGTGGACGGTTCGTTGAAACGACTGCTAAGTCACTTTTCAACACAACGCGACGGTCTTCTCGACCCAGTTTTTTCTCGGCATTTTTGCTGTGCGCGCCGTTTTGAAATGACGTTTCCGTCCTCTTGCTAAACCACTCTTTTAACGAGTGTGAAGGAAATCATTCCTATCACGTGAATGCTACATACATGAACACCCTTGGATCACATGTATATGAATGTCACCCTGGATATGCTGGAAATGAACAAAACTGCACAGGCGAATTTTATCTCTTTCCGAAATGACATAATTGACTCCAGCGCCGCACCATTCAGCCGCGTTCACTCATAACTCGTAATATAAGCAGCGGTTTCTCATGAAGGCGATGAAATTTTTATTTTGTTTCCCGCGTTGAAAGTAGCAGTAAATTCCTCAGTGTTGACTTTTATCCGAAATTCACATCGAGGAGGCATAATTTTATGCTACCTTAAGCACAAAAATGAATCATTTTTTGATTATGTTTTAAATTATTTAACAACCTTACACGAACTTTTACGTGATGCATACATGAAACTCTCCGTGGAACTAAAAAACCTTCAAGAATCCCTGAGCTTTAAAGATTCCCTAATAATAATAATAGCAGCTATGATCCTTATTTGACTTATGCAAACCGATGAATGAGTTGCCAGTAATCGGATCCTTGTGTTTTCGCAAAGATTTCTGGGAGCGCCACGGGGCAAACATTACATCTCTCTAGAAATAAATGTATGGCGAAAGGCTGTTTCGAGGTCCAAAGAAGCGATTACGAAGAGAGATCATCGCTTTTTTGCCGCTGCTTTATCAGAATTGGAGTGGGTGAATGTTGATTCAAGGGAAGCGTAAGTTTTGTTTGAACAACCATGAAATATGAAGTAAAATGAACCGATTGACTTTTCACCATGCGCACGGTTTATTGTGAAATTGACATCGTGTTCTGGTCTCGAAATTTAGACATATTAGCCTTTTCAGTTTTGTTTACGTGTCTTAAGTCTACTTATAGCTTCTAGTTTTTTTCTTGGCTTGGTAATACAAAAGAGCGCTACAACGATACCTTGAAGCACCAGGAGATCGTAATGGTGTGATTGGGCATTGAATAATATCGCGATGCATTAAAGTAATTGCTTAGGAAATCTTTGTGCAAACGCAAGGATCCGATTACTGGAAACTCATTCATTCGCGTTATAATTATAAATAATTGGATGGTGCTAATAGACAGAGAGTCATTGCACACTCCTGGGACTTAATTGTGTTACTACCAAATACCTCTAGGCTGGTGTCGTTGTTTGGGAACCGGAGATCAAAAATGTCTTAAACGCGTTTGGTAGCTTCAAGTTGAGGTACAAAGAACTACAGGCTTTGATTGGCGATTAAAGCAAGAGTTCACATAACTCTATATAATGCTATCATTTCATTTTAGTTCCTATTTGCATCATCACTGTCCAATCCAAATTCTTCTTTAAATTTTACTTAACGCATAGTTGTTCTTGTAAAACATTAGTCCTATCTAGTTGTTGTCGAACTGATTGACTTGAAAAATGTCAACAAAAAATGTTATCTTTGTTTCTACAACCTTTTTGTAATGTTTATTTCATTTACTAGCCGACCCCTGTTATAATTATCAAAACCTGAGTGATGCCAATAGAAAAAGCAGTTACGTTACGCCGATAGACGAACCATCTTTGTGTGACAAGTTACTCCCCACGGGATGGTATCGTTTTGTGGGAGATGCAGGAACAAAAATGCCAACAACGCGTGTGCCAGCATTCAGATGTGGTACAGACTGGTCAGGCTGGTTGCATGGTGCTCATCCTACAGTGGAAGATGGTATAGTTCACAGGAAGGTCTGCTTCAGTGATCGTTCTTCTGGTTGCAGATATTATACAGATATTTTTGTAAAAAACTGTGAATCCTACTTCATCTACACACTTTACATACCTTTCTGTCCCTCGCGCTTCTGTGGTGCAGACTGAATGTGAAGCAAATACATTTCGCTTAGCAAGAGGACTCTCAAATCGCTCCGTAGGTACGTATGTATATGGTTTTGTCATGTGACGTATTCAACCTTACTTTGGTGGCAAACAGGTATTTAATTCACTAGAATGATAATTCTCATTAGACATCGCCTGTCATCGCAGAGAGTTGCCCGAAGGATCTTCAAAGTAATCTTCTAGTAAAATCTGTAAGACAAACTCTCAAGCTTATTTTCGAGCCTTTTATTTATGTTTTTTTTTTTCATCCTTGAATTCCTCTAATTATAAACCATGATTATTTTAGCGTAGGTTAGTGGAATAAAAACAGGCCCAATCTTACGTTAAAGGCGTAGAAAAAAAAAGTGATGACAGTCAAAATCTGATGTCCTATGAAATTACATAAAGTTATCGTAATAATTGTGACTTGATATTTTGAAACGTTGAACACAAAGCAAATGAGGCAAAGCAAGGCGAGTTTCTTGACAACGTATCAAAATATAGAAAAATCGTCATGGACTTTTTAAAGCAAAGTGATATGAGGTGGGTAAGTTGTGGCTCAGCTTCTTGAGTGGTGTAAAGAGAAGGGCATCGTGTATATTATCTCATTATTTAACAAAAACTGTGTATCTCTTTGTAAATACAATTACCTTACACGGACTACTTTCAGCTGAGTTTCATAACACAAACACGACAGTAAATTTTAAGGGCAGTGTAATCCATGGGTCGGAGTAGGTTCAGTGAAGTAAAAACAGAGCCATAAATCAAAACTTTACATCGCAACGATTCAGTAACAAACGGAGAAAGTTTTTAAAGATTTTAACGTAAGGAACAGAAAAGGAAAATAAGATAATTCTTAACTAAATATTGAACATTTTTCTTGATTAATTGCAAGTAATTTTCGCAAGTAGTTTATTAAGGAATTATTAAGAAATAAAAAAAAAATTTTAAAAAAAGGCATCTCTTGTAGTTCATGACTTTGTTAGTGCTAAGGGAATGTACATAAATTTCATACCCACAAGGGACAAGGGGGGGGGGAGGGGGGGAGGGTGGAGGGTTCTTCATAAAAGAACAATGGGAGAAATCATTGTTATCCTTAGGACCTGAGAACAGTAATGGATACCTCTTGCATTGTTGTACATAAATTGCTCTGAAAAAATATCATATTCACGTGCCACTGGTAAATGAAGTTACCGATAAAATGTGTAAACGCACTGGGCAGTTAACTTCGCACGGTTAATATATTTTTTCCATGAATGAATCCGTCGGAACTGTTGCAGAATAAAGCCTGGTAATAAAACCACGTTCTATAATATTGCCCATCGTCGCCCGTTGCCGGGTTGCATTATTTATCCTGTTGATGTCACCTGTCCGGCAGAAGGAACTGAATAACGTTTTCGTACACCACAAATGTGAGTGCACATGCTGGCGTTACTCTAAAAGGAAACAAAAACATCAACAATCAAACACGTAATACACAGTAAAATCAACAATGAACGTGTTTACATAGATTATGGTTTCAATACAATTTTTAATACAAGTGTTTCTTAAGCAAGGGGAACAGAGTATTAGAGACATAAGTGAGTTTTGACCACGCATATAGGGTTTGTTAGGTAACCCTGGCCCAAACCACCAAAAGTTAGATCCACCATTCTAATTAACAAATAGATGGACCTTAATCGTTGGAAAGCGGGTAACGTGATAACTTTAAACTTTTCCCAAGATGATCTCAAAAATAATGCACCACGATGGGTTACTCGTAAAACATACGATTATCTATTTGTTCAAAATTAATTAGCGCTAGAAAGACATCGAATGAATTAACGTCTGATAAAATCTCGAACTGTGAACAGGACCCTGAGAGTGACACTAAATGAGTACGCTTCAAACTTCGAGTCTCTTATCTGAGATAAACACCATGTTCCAGACGCCTTTTTCGAAATATATTCACAATTCTTTTATTCTTTTTTCGAATATCTTTAGTTCTTAGCAGCAGAAACAAAACAAGATTATTAAGACCGCCCAGAAAAGCTCGTCTGTGGAAAAGCGCCAAAGTTTGTCCGAGAGGTTTGAAATTTCAGAATTTAGACCACCTGCGCATGATCTAAAATAAAAATTCAAATAAAAGATTATTTAGGACTAGAAGTCATTAGGGTCTCGACTCGCACAGAATTTAGAAACAGAAAGAAAAATGAATAGTTTCTTTGATATCAGCTTAGATTTAGAAGGCCTACTTGGTGCACTGCTTTATTTTCTCGCTGGTTAGAAGTGCTGTTTCACAGTAATATTTTTTTCAGTCATTTGTGTCGGTGAAATATCGCTTAACAAAATCTCACAGTTTCAAAACATGGCCAAAATTTATCATGTAGAACATAAAAAACCACGATATTTCCAGAGGGACATTTTCTAATACAATAGCTACAAGGATTCTCTCTCAAAAATTTCACCATATTGCCATAAATAGAAGGTCTGTGTATTTGTTTTCACACAATGATGGTCGAATTCCACTTTGGTTCTTTTACTTTCCCTCGCGGTGCCTTGAAGGAGATCAAATGAAAAATAGCAAAAAAATTGATCCAAATCTCGTGCGGGAACTGTCTTTATTCTCTATGTGTAGGGGGCTGGATTAGTCTTTACGACAAATGTCAACATTAAAAAAAAAGAACAATTGATAGCATAAATCTTTAGGCTCACTTTGCATAAATGATTCGAGACAACGTTTCTCCCAATTTTGATAACTGAGTTAAGTCAAAAAAATTTTTTGGGAATAATTGTCAAGAGAATGAGATTCAAACTGCTTGACCGGTCGTACTTCTTTTCTGCTTGAAAAAGTGGAATCTTCGAGACTTTATTATCTTCGAGCCGTACAGGTCCGGCGGTTGTAATTTGCGTCCACGGGGCGTCTCTCCTACAATAGAAACCTCATAAGAAATAAATGTCCTTAATGCATCAATTTTTGGTCACGGAACTATAGCTAAAACATTTTTTTTAAGGACTTAATTCGGACTCAAGTTTCAATGCACAAAGGCTGTGCGTTAAGAAACGAAGCTATTTGGCGACGATTTGATGCAAAGTGCATATCTAATTTCTGAAGGGCTTCTCTTAAGTAAGTCAACACATCATTCTGAAATATCTTAGGGCAATCGTTTTTGAGCATGAGGTGAAGTATATATCTTTAAGGCTTAAGAGTTTCTGAGAGCTGATAATCAAGTCTCCCGACGTTGGTGAGTGCGAGGGCTATAAGAAATAATTTTGTGTTTATCTTTCTCTATTCCTTTTCAGGGTGAGTGAAGTTCTCTGTCGTCATTAATATGAAAAAAAGATGTATTTACTCTATGCTAATACAACGGTAAAATCGAACGTGCTTTCTCTGTGTATTGATACATTAAAAAAAAAAATTCTAAGCGTTTAAGCCTAAACATATCCAGGTACAAAATATATATTAGGGACTTCAAAGGAGAGAGCACTCATCTTTTACCAGCACACCCTAAATTGTTTATTACAGCTCGGCACATACACGTAGCTGGAAAATGACAAATATTGGTAAAATAATCATTTCAATGTTTTTCAGTCCTCTTTCGCAAAGCAACTCTAAACTGGTAGAGGAATGCGACTACATCCTTTATGGAAAGAAAACATATTTTGCGTTTACGAATAAGATTCCAACCTTATTATCTTTGCTTTCTCAAAGAAACTGAATAGTGAAGGAGAAACTAAAAATTTAGGAACAAATTAAATTACATCCAAACAAATCACTGACATGACAATTTTTTACCATTAAAGAACAACTTTGAGATTCGAGTAAACGGTAGAGAAATCATGTAAAGAGTTCTGCCGTGTATAACGTTAAAAATAAAATTGATACCAAAACTTTGCCCTGTTTCAACTGACCTTTTTCAATTAAAAAGCCTCATTTAAATCGATGGATTCACAATGTAAGGTCAACCTCATATCCTGTCTCTTAAATTGATATGGAACAGGAATCAAATCATTTTGTTCAAACTGAATCTTTAGTTTTATACAGCTGACGGAAAATTGCAAGCACAGTGATATTAAGGTAAGGGGAAAAAACCGAGTCTTGTTTAACCTTTATTTCCAATAAACTTACCATAACATGAATATTCTCCCTCATGAATCTAACGGTCCTAGTATGTTTTGTATCGTCAAGATTTCGCAACTCAAAACAGCAATTGATAGACATTTCAACAAATATTTGGAGTTTGCCTCACTCGCTTTCATTTTCATTTTTAAATCGTGACGCCGATCAACATCTCAGCTGCAACTCTGTCTAAGAAAAACCCTTAAGGCCTATTTACACGGCACGACTTTGTCGCATGCGACAAGCTTACGACAGGCCTACGACATGACTTAAGAGTCGTAAGCGAGTTGTAGGTTTGATTTACACGAAAAAATTCGTGTCGTAAGCCTGTCGTAAGCTTGTCGCATGCGACAAAGTCGTACCGTGTAAATAGGCCCTTATGATTCCCAAATAACCGCAAGTAAAAGTTGGCGATATCAAAGAAGCGGGTGAACAAAGGTGTAACGACTCAGACACTAACAACATTTAGTGGACATGCAGTTAAGAGTGACGCTAAATGAGTACGCATCAGACTTCGAGTCTCTTTCCTGAGAGAACCACCATGTCCAGAGCGCTTTTTTCGAACTTCTGTAGTTCTTAGCAGTATAAACAAACCAAGAATGTAAATGTTGCCAAGAAAAGCTCGTCCGTGGAAAAGCGCTAAAGTTTGTCTGAAAGGTTTTGAATTTCAGAATTTAGACCGCCTGTTCATGATCTCAAATTCAAATAAAAGGTTCTTTAGACTAGAAAACATTAGGATCTCGCAATTCTAACTCAATTAAGTCATTTCTAATAAAACTTTGCTCGAAAGCTCTCTTCCATTGTTCAGTCGCATGTCACACTTAAAAGATGTATGAAGATTTAGCAGTCCCGCGTAAAAAAACAAAAACAAGCAACCCAGAAAAAATGAGAGCGAGTCTCTGTTAGTTTAAAAGTTTTGTATTCAAATGATGGTCATTAATAGATTTTAGGAGCTGTCACGTATCTCATTTTAAAACAAACTATACATGCACTTCTGGTGACGAAGGGGTTGGAAGAAATGTGAGATATTCTTAAGTGGTATGATTTGGGAGAAACCTCACACATTATGAATTTAAGTAACGTTAAGATAAAAAGAACTTGGATACGTTAGATGACAAAAAATAACTTGTAAAATTTGCAGCGTCATTAACTTAAATGAACCTCACAGTCGCCGAATTGTTTGCGTTATGCTTAGAGGTAAATGGTTAAAATTTTTCTGCAATTTCGTAAGTTTGCTTCCATTTTCCGTAAAATGTTGCTAGATTTACTTGGCCTGATCCTGAGCTTAAATTCGAATCGTAGCTTCATTTGAACCCTCAGTTTTAATGTCTTTCTCGACTAAACTGAACTGCACTGAACTGCATCACAGATCATCAATATTTGCTCGAAGATTCCAGACTAAAATTATACAACTGTGGACTGGCTGATTTTAAAGTAGCTTTCGTAAGTTTGTATTCAAAATTTACCACTAATTCGTGCCAAGAAGCTAACAATTTATACCGATGAAATTTCACTTTATGATTAATGAAACAAGTATCTTCGCCATTGTTTGGCAAAAATTGCAAACAGAACAATTATACTACTTAAATTCCGGCCCGAATTTTGTTGAATTCATTGCTTAAGAGGAGCCAAACAGAAAAGATGATTTTTTTCTTAATGTTAATTATTATACAATGGCTTAAAACAAACGTTATTATAATACCTTGATGAAAGACAGCATTTTAGCTCAGAAGCAATCAGGCACTTAAGGACCGCATTTCTGATATTTATCAGCTTTAGAGCTACGACGAATAAGTTTGGCTTAAATCCCGAAGAAGTGTTTGGTAAATTTTTGGCGGCAAACTAATTAGGAAAATTACACACCAGACCTTTTTAGATTATTTCTATACCTAATTTTTAACTAAGACTTTTTGATAACTGGACTGTTTGTTTTATAAAGGAAAAGAAACACACTCTAAGAGATAATTGTTTTACCTAGCCAATTTCGTAAAGCTAACTTCGCGAGTTAACAACACTAGATAAGCACATCAAAGTCATTATTCCACAAAATCTGAGAGAAGCTAAAAAACCTCATATATTTTAACACAACTTTGCATTTGTACTTAACGTTGTTTCCTGACATTTTAATTAGCATCCTGTCGAGCTGCTATGAATTTTTCTCGCCCATTTTTAGGCGGCCATTAGTCAGTGCATGACATTTGTTATGAATATTATTTTTATTTATCGGTTAGGTAGATAGTTTTTCAAGTAAGCTGTAACTAGGCGGGAATTAAACATGTACTTATGGTGTCCTATCCTCAATATTTGCAGATTAAATATAAGTAAAAAGTATGTTGTGGATATCCCAAAATTTAAGATTCTTCCCCTTCGCCTCTGCCATGGAGTTCGTCACAGCTAACGATCAATGTAGGAACGATGTATATAAGGAATGGCTCTCAGGTGATCGGTCTTCAGAAGGTGGTCAGTGGCGGCTCCTCGCCTCTGCGATGTCAAATGTGGACAAGAGATCACGTGCCAAAGCGATAACTATAATCGAAAATACCAAATATGTGAACTAAATAACCGCACCAAGGAGGCGAGACCGAAAAATTTCCTTTCAGCTCCCGCATGGTTTTACATCCAGCGATTGAACGACAGAGGTAAAAAAACAAAAGTCTTTCTATCTAAGTGATTCGTGTTTCTTTAAATCTTCGCCATCGTCAGCCTGATTCCTTCTCACCTGGAAGAACTAAGAATAGGAAGTGAACGTAAAATACATCTTTACTTCAGCTCCCTTAAGTTCTATCCCTGAATTACCAGGGCTGTCTTGTCGCGAAATAAAGGTGAGTGAAGCTAAACTCTCTATAAGCGGCAAGCACTGGCTCGATCCAACCAGGAAAGGAAAGGCAAAACTGATTTACTGTGATATGGTTAACGAAGGCGGGTGCTATAAGTTTGCTTGAGTTATTTTATTTTGTAACGAGTTCTAAGTATCATAAAACTTTTATAGATTATGCTATTATTGATATCATTATCATAATATTTGGTTTGGATTAGTTCTAGCGTGGATGTCTCTCTCAAGTTGCTCTAACTTAGTCACTGCTTCTCTTTTGACATCCTAGATTGGATGAATGTACATTTAATATCAGCGACTGCAATGTGAATGCAAACTGTACTAACACGTATGGTTCTTACAAATGCACATGTAAAAAGGGATACACCGGCGATGGACACTCATGTTCAGGTAATTTTGAAGATAACGTTATTAATAGTTCCTAATAAAACTAATTTTTGTAAATCGTCTCATAATTTTAAGCAGCGTTACCCGCGCATGTTTATTCACAGAGTTACCATGATCTACATCTTTCTTGTTTCAGAGCCGTTGGATTGATAAATTAAACTATTTGTACTAAGATATAATTTCGCAATATCTAATTCATGTAGCACAATAAAAGGAAATATTTGTTTTATAATTTATAATGATTAAAGGAATTAAACGGGAATGAGTCATAAAAATGATAAAGTGCAAGATTTGTCTATGGTTTCTCAGATATTGACGAGTGTAAAGGAAATCACTCTTGTCACGTGAATGCTACCTGCACGAACACCAAAGGATCGTACTTTTGTACTTGTCATCCCGGATATAATAGAAATGGACACGACCGCACAGGTACTTGATGCCTTTCTTTTCTAACTATTCCCTTTAAAAAGAGTGGTAAAGGGAGACTCGGTGGATAGGCTTAAAGGGCAGAATAACGGATTTGAACTTGGGGAAACCAAGAAAAAATCTAGCGAGTGGTAATGTGAAGTAGTGATGTGAAGTGCTTGCGTTTAGAACCACAATACAAAAAGACTAAGGTTTCTAAGCTTATGCTCGGCAACTTTTCCCAAGTACAATTTTTTCTTAATCTTTTTTGTTTATGATTTTACAGATATCGACGAGTGTAAAGGAAATTACCCTTGTCACGTGAATGCAAAATGCACGAGCACCCTTGGATCACATGTATGTCAATGTCATGCTGGATATACTGGAAATGGACATAACTGCACAGGTGAATTTAGTTTTTTCGCTACAATATTTAGAATAGTCCTACGTGACACGTTCGAATACAGCGCCGCACCATTCAATTCAATTCAATTCAATTCAATTCAATTTTATTTGTTAGCAATACAATATTATCACAGACCTAGGTGACCCGCAATTAGCAAGCTATTCTAGGCGGGCCACCCTTCTTAAACAAGTGCTGTCTCTGCTAAGGATCACATACCGATACAATTAAACAAAGATAATCATTAATAAAAATACAATTGTTAAATAAAATAAAATAAAATTAAGTCCGTTGAATAATTAAATAATCAATTGCAAAGTTATCAAGATATATAATACAATTGAAACAAGACTTAAACGAAGAGTTACTTTATCAAGAGATATTTACAAATTTCAGAGCAGCGTATATCAACATTCATCTCCTCAATTTCCAAAAGTTTTAACAGGCGATTTTTAAGTTCACGCTTAAACGGGGTTCTGTTTTTAATACGAAGTTCTTTTGGGATGCTATTCCACAATCTTACACCTATTCTAGCAAAAAGAAAATAAAAGTTGGTTAGTTCTAGACGCTTTAACGTACAGATTAGCCGTTGCTGAGAATCTTGTGAAATGGTGATGAACCTGCTCGGAGTGGATAAAGAGCATAGAAATATTAGACGGGGCACGGTGATTATCAATGTCATGCATCAAAGAGGAAACCAAATGAGAATAGAGCATAGTTATTGGTAAGATTCTGGAGTTAACAAATAGCGGGGCACTATGAGATTTGCTATCCGCAAAATACATTAGTCGTAGAGCACGTTTTTGTAAAATGAGAACCTTATTTAAATGAGTGTTAGCAGCTTGTCCCCAGGCAATAAGACCATAAGAGATATAGGGTTCAATTAAGGAGCGGTAGATGTTAAGAAGTGTGGCAAATGGGACAAGATGTCTTAACCTGGCAATTATACCAATTCCTTTACTAACTTTAGATGAGATATAATCAATATGATACTTCCAAGAGAGGTTATTATCTATCAGAATTCCTAGATATTTCACAAAAGTTTTTGTTCTAGAGATACACTTTTTTTAAGATCGTTATTATAAATTTTCAAGTGAACTATGTAGTCCAATTTGCGTTGGTAAGGATGGAAAATAACAAAGTTAGATTTACTAGTGTTAAGAGAAAGTTTGTTTGCGTCCAACCAGTCACCCACTTTTGCGAGTTCATCATTAACAACTTTTTCAAGATCCTTAAGATCTTTGTTTGAATAAAGCAAGTTAGTATCGTCAGCAAATAGGTAAAACTCAAAAATCTGGGAGCAACGGTAAATGTCGTTAACATAAATCAAAAAGAGAAGGGGCCAAGTACAGACCCTTGAGGGACACCACAAACTATCTCTTCTATATTCGACACGGTTGAACCAATTTGAGTCGACTGGTTCCTGTTCAACAAGTACGAAGAGAACCAGTTATTAATTATTCCTCTGACTCCATAATGATATAATTTGTGCAGTAAGATTGAGTGATCCACCGTATCAAAAGCCTTTTTAGGTCAATAAAAATACCACAAGAGAATAACTTTGCATCAATATTAGTTTGAATTTTGCTTAAGATATCTAAAATTGCATGTTGGGTTGAACACTTGTCTCTAAATCCATATTGAGAAGTAAAAAAGATACCGTTTTTTTTTCGCAATGTGATTTAAGACGTTTAGCCATCAATTTCTCAAATAATCGATTGAAGACAGAAAGGAGGGAAATTGGGCGGTAATTACATGGATCAGTTTCGTCTCCCGATTTGTAGATAGGAATTACTTTGGCATGCTTCAAAAGATGGGGATAAATACCCGTTGAGATAGACTTATTCATCATGGCAGCTAAGAGTGGAGAAAGGATATGGCGCCCAGATTTTAAAAGATGAACCGGGCAAGAATATAGGCCATATACTTTATTACTGGGTATAGCCAAGATTTCCAAGTCCACCTCGGATGGAACGACGGGATCAAAAAAGAAAGACTTAAAGTGATTAGTGCCGACAAGGTAGTCCTGGAAATTTATCCTGAAGGTGATATATTTGCGTGCAAGCCGCGGTCCAATAGACGCAAAGTACTGATTAAAGATATTGGTTATTTCAGACGGATTTTGTGTTACTCCAGAGTTGTTAGAGCGTTGAAGGGCTGATACTGTTTTTCTGTTACGCTGTCTGTTCAATAGTTCATTAATCCCTCCCACGTTTTTTTTTTTTTAACATTTCTTAGATTTGTAGTGAAGTAAGCTTCATAATACAATCTTTTACTGAGACGAGAAAGAGTAACAATTCTATTCCTATACAGCTTATATTTTGAGATATCTCCTGAATAAAAGAGTCTATTCTTTATTTTGATAGATTTACGTAGGCCCTTAGTTATCCACGGTTTGGAAAATTGTTTAGCCTTGCGCCTAGATAAGATTTTGAGAGGAGCGTGTTTATTAATGAGCTTGTTAAATTTATTGTAAAAGGAAGAAAAGCATTTGTCTACAGATCCATATGTCATTGAGTTATCCCAATCAGTATCCAAGACATCATTAATAAAGCATTCTTCAGAGAAGTTGGAATAATCGCGAATTTTATGTTTAGCAGTAAAATTTTTTGGTATAAGACTGTGGATAAAACAAAATTGGGAGTAGTGATCACTAATGTCTGACACGATATTTCCACCTGAAATTTTATGATCAAATCTATTCAGAAATATATTATCAATGAGTGTGGCAGAATTATTGTAGACTCTAGTTGGTTTATCAATTACCGGGAAGAACGAATAACATTGTAAAGATAACAAAAATTTTGGGAGTAATCGGAAATTTCAGATTTGAGGAGATCAATATTGAAATCGCCCATAAGATAAACAACTTTATCAGAGGAGCTAAGTTTTTCTAAAGTAAAGTCAACATAATGGAGGAATTGTTCCGGATCATTATGCTGCCTATAAATCACTCCACAAACGATATTTTTACTCTTTAGGGATTCAATTTCGATCCATAAAGCCTGAAAAGCGTCTTTAGATGTTCTCTCCAGAACCTTATATTTCAAACAATTATTAATGTACATTCCAACACCTCCACATGATAGAGGTGTTGGGACATATTCAAACTGATAGTTTGGTATGCAGGCATTGAAATCTAGCCCAGATGAATTTGTAATTTTTGTTTCTGTAATACCGATTACACTGAATTGGTAGTCAAGTTCATCTAAAAGATGGACTTGAAAATTATCAATGTTTTTCCGCAAACTTCTTACGTTAGTATGAAGCATAGAGAAAGGACATTGACTATCTGATTCCAACAAAGACTCTTTAAACATAGAAAAACTATAGGGTGAGAAATATTTACATCTAATTTGTTGCATGCTTAAGTTTCTGTCGGGATTTAATGTTGATTCGGTATTTAAGCGAAACAAATCTAAATCATAAATACTATGAAGTTTGTCTAAGTACTTCTTGGTCGGTAAGTCACTGTTGAGAATGTTATTAAACTGTCCATGAGCTCTAATAATTTCAACATTCGCGTATGGAAGTTCGCTTAAGGTAGATTTAATTGTACAACGAACACGTTTCTTGCTAACACTCATACTTATTATCTAAAAACAGACAAACAACTCTACATCAACATGAATACTTAGCCTTCACGTCCATTCGTTAATCGGTGCAGGTCCGTGATATCCTTAATCTTGATGGCTCGAGACGTGGTATCTTTACGAAGATAAACAAGCGATCCCTTCGACCAGCAATACTGATAGTGAAACTGCTCCTTGAACCTCTTAGCTTCAAATAAAACCTTTTGCATCCTTGGCGTTAAATGGTCAAAAATTCTAACAGCGGAAAGGGAGGCATCGTCAGGTAAACCAACAGCAGATGGGGCAACTTTACTTGCATTTCTTTTATGATTCATGACATCATCTTTTGACAATCGTCTAATAAATCGGCAAATGATTGGCCGCGGGCCGCCATTGTCATTGCTTCTCGTTGGGACTCGATGGGCTGTGTCAATGTCATAAATTGATACAGCGGATCCAATTGCCTTAAATAAACCTTCACATAGCGCACTCGTAGAAGCCGAGGATTCATCTTGACTCAATTGAGGGACACCAACAATCTTAACATTATATTGATAACTGTACTCTTGAAATTCATCGATGCTCCTGGAAACTCTGTTAACTTCAACAGCAATCTCATCAAGCA